AGGTTGATATGAATATATGATCCATCGATTTGGGTATATCAACGATTAAAAGTTATTGAAAAATAATAGAAACACGGGCATAATGTTAGTTTTATAAATATTATAAACATGAAAGTTTGTAATAATTATAAAATTGATTATGTATTTTTGTTTACTAAAATTCTCAATCATTAATGAATAATGATGAACAGTTGTGATCAGTCTTCACTTTTTATAAGAGGAACATGTTCTCATTTGAGTATATATATATATATATATATATATATATATATATATATATATATATATATAAACCACTCTTATTAAGCATTCATTGACATGTTACCATTTTATTGTATATGTATATTCCTTATTATCTCCAATCGTTATATCGTGGACCGCGGTGCATAATCGATTATGCACCGCGCATCAAAACGGCGTCGTTTCTTTACTTAAAGAAACGGCGCGATGTTAGTGTTAACGGAGTGACACTACAATGTATCTAAATCGACACTGCCTCACGTATTATTTTTGTATTATCAAATGAAACTGCATTTATATGAAAATGATACTGTAGTTGTGGTGAAATGAAACTGCAGTATATATAAAATGAAATTGAATAACATTTCACATATTTGAGTGTATATTGTACAATGAAGTTGTAATTATATCGAAATAATCATGTAGTTGTGTTTTAATGAAACTATAGTGTATATAAAATAAAGTTAATAACATTTTCACATATTTGAGTGTATAAATATTGAATGAAATTGTAGTTATATCGAAATGAAACTGTAGTTGTGTTGAACTGAAACTGTAGTGTATACAAAATGAAACTGAAGAACAGAGTTATTTTTTGCGGAACGGTGCGGAACAGATTCCGTTTCTTTTCATTAAATAAAACGACGTCGTTTTTATGTGCGATGCATAATCGATTATGCACCGCGGTGCACGTTATAATTTGCCTATTATCTCAGAGTGGGCTCAACTAAGTGATGGAGCTTCCTTTAGATTACATTTTGGCTATGTTTGGCAGAGCTTATTTAGGAGCTTATAACTTATTTTAAGCTACTAATAAGCTATAAGCTCTGTTTGGTAATGTTCCAAAAATAAGCTCCTAGCTTAAAATAAGAGCTTATTTTGGAACGCCACCTTAGATAGCGTTTCAAAATAAGCTCCTAACTTCCTAACTTTTTTTTCCATCTTTATCCTTATTATTTTAAAGAAATGACATAATTTACACTTCCCAATTAAAACCTTTTTCTATTCTCCTTTATCTGCAACTTTCACCGCAAATATTATTATTATTATTATTATTATTATTATTATTATTATTATTATTATTATTATTACTATTAATAATAATAATAATATTATTATTATTATTATTATTATTATTATTATTATTATTATTAGATTTGCAACAATATTGCTACTTCATTATGAGATGCTAGATCATGATTATGCTAATAGTTTTATTTTAAAATGTTAATTTTTTTAAAGACGAAATGTTAAATTTTAATATATAAACAAACTAATTTAAATTATATGAAGATGTCCTTTTTAGTCTTTTTACATTTATCAGCTTATCAAAACGCTAATTTTACCAAACATTTTCAATCATAACAGCTAGCTTAACAGCTCTTTAGTTTTCAGCTTTCAGCTCCGAGCTTATTGCTTTTCAGCTAAGTTTGCCAAACAGAGCCTTTATCACTATTCATTGGGTTTTCCCTTTCTCAAGTATGAAAAAAAGTAGTTAATATTTTCAACCAATTCAATGAATCTCATGGTGTTGATAAAAAAAAATAAATCCAAAAGTCACTAAATAGTATGGAGTAATTAGAGTTGTCAAAGTGTACAAGCATAACAAAGTCTACCAAAGTCCGCCTTGTAACAAAATGAGCCTAAAATTGGTCAAATAGCCCCGCCCCCGCTAAAGCTCAAAACCTTAGCGGACTAGCCCATCAAATAAAAAAAATTAAAATTATACAGACATATATATAGATAAATAAATTCAAGTAAGAACAATGTTTCTCAGAAAAATGCAAAATAATCTCATTCCTCTATTTGGGATGATCAAGTGCACAGTGGTTTAAAAATTAGAAAAAAATATGGTGGTAAATTAGTAAATATTATAAACTTTTGATGTACATTTAGGTAAATTTTGAGAGTACATTCAATGATAACTAACCATGCACTTAAGATTATTTAAAAAAAAAAAAAAAAGTGCACTCAAGCTTTGTCTAGTAAACATCCAAAGTTGGTTATAATTATGAAAATGTCAATAATTTTTTTTTTTTTTTAAAAGAGTTAATGGTCTATTTTTTGGGGGATATTCAAGGTTTCCACCGTCGAACACTGGCCTGGAGATTTAAGACTGCTCCATTCTCAAAGTCAAGGATCGAACCCTTGACATTTGGTTAATGATAGATGAGTCCCTTTCAATTAACTACACCCTCCAGGTTCATTAGTTAATAGTCTAAAACCATTGTATAGTTAACAAATAAGGATTAATAATCAAATAAACCATTGAACTACACACGAATATGCAATTGGATTATCAAACTAAAAAAAAAAAAAAAAAAACCTGCAATTGGATCGCTAAATATTACAATTCAAAATTATACAATTAAACTCAAATTAACCTGTTTGACCGGTTATTGCCGACGTGTGATCTAATTTATTAAAATATTATATATTTTAAAATAATTTTGAATAAAAAAAAAAACAACTTTTCATATATACTTTTATAATCAATTTTTTATTTACCAATTAACTATTTTAAGTACATATATACAAAATTTATCTTTTCAAATTAAAAAAAAAAAAAAAAAAACTTGAATTGGCTTTGACCCAATTGAAAATTGTATTGAAATCAACTTAAAATAATATCTTAAAATAACTACTCACATACTAATTTTTCAACATGCAAAATGAAAATGGTTTTAAAAGAGTTAATTTCATCAGAGTTTTTTGCACTTTTGGTCCCACGATTATAATAACATTATCAGGATTGATCCGCGATTTTCAAACCTTGCAATCTCATTCCATGACTATTGTTTTTGTTGAAAAAAGGTAATTTCAACCAATTTCCGTCAAAATCTCACTGAAGAAAAAAATTATCCATTTCAAGTAGAGATAAAATAGACATTTACATTGATCTTGCAATCTCGGACCACTGTTGACCTTTTACTATGACCAAAGTGCGAAAAAATCAAACAAAAAAAATCAATTGCCAGAGACAAACCTTGACAATTGGGTTCTTCTCTGGCAAATTAGGGTTCGTCTCTGGTAATTGGGTTGATGAGATGAGAGCAGATTAGGGTTCGTCTCTAATCTGCTAGAGACGAACCCAACTGCCAGGGTTCATATCTGGCAATTGATTTTTTTGTTTGTTTGTTTGTTTGGGTATGAAGCGGCCTTAAATCTCCAAGCACCCAAAATAAATGTGCATGTGTTCGAAAAAAATCTAAATTCCATCGAGGTTCGAACCTATGGGTTCCGTCAAACTACATGATAGTTAGCAGTCAATATAATATAATAAAGTAAAAATATTTTTTTTTTCTTTTACCAAGTCTTAGAGCATCTACATCAGAGGAGAAATATGGGAGAATTCACTACTTTTGAGGCTAAAATGCCATGGTGGCAGAGAGAGAATCAAGAGAGAGAAGGGGTGGGGAGCATCTGCAAATGTTGGGATATTACTCTGCCCAAGAAAAATAATTAATGATAAAGGATAAAGAACCAATAGAGAAATGACATGCTTATTTTTTATATATTTTTTTTTATAAAATCAGTTTTGATTTTTTTTTTCCCTCCCCTCCCACATTATTCTCTTTCCTACTCACTCTTACATTCTCCCCCTAATAACCCTAACTGATAAGGATGCTCTTAGAACAAGCCAATTAAGTAAAATGATTAAGGAGGATTTTGGGAATTGAATTGGTTGAGTGCCTTAATAAAGTGGAGACTCGGAGAGTGGACCCGTTAAGTAAGCATTTTAATATGGTCTCCTAATCCAAGTAATAATCTATCATACGTTTGGGCTTTGGCAACGATGGATAAGCTATCCTGATCCTCGTATAGGACAGGCCAATTCTAAGTCTAAAATCAGATGTGGTCTTGTGGAATTGGGAAAGCATCTCAACCAAACTCGCCGTAACCTCCATGTTTGCTTCCGCATCTCAACCAAGATATTCTCATGCGGTGTCGTGACGTAAACTCATTTTTTCCACGATTTCATTTTGTCGGCTACGTATTTTACTTAATTCTTGGACTCTCCCTATCACTTGTAATTATCTCACTATCCACCCCATTTGCCCATTCACTAAAAACCTTATGGTCGAACGACACGATTGTAGCTCTTTTAAATGAGAGGTAACAGGTTCAAATTTCAGTTATGATGATTCTGAACATATAGTACACTGTAATAAAGTTAGAGTCACTAATATTCACAACTTTAACTGTCATAATATCCGGTTACTTGTAGACACCAACACGAAAAAGTTTAAGAATTATAGAGTAGTATTTTTCTTTTGTATTTCAAAAACCTTTTATTTTATAAGTTTATAAAAACTTCATATAACATTTCAAAATTGTTTCATTAATTTTAAAATATGTATTTAAAATTAAAATAATAAATAATTACTTAATTTGTCTCATTTTACTTATCATATGCATTCTTCATTTGATCAAATTAATTCTTTTTTTTTCTTTAATCATTTTTATATTTAATATTATTTAAAAAATATAAATTTAATTTTAATATTAAAAAATTAAATTATAAATAACTTTAATCAACCCTCATCAAGTGAATTGACACATAAAATAAGACGGAAATTAATAATATGTATGCATATGTAGTAAAACATTTTATGCAACCTAGAAGGAAAATAAATAATTTGTGTGGTCAAAATTATGATATACCAAAATATTTGGGGCGTTTCTGATATTTATAGAAACGTTCGGATTGGCTTCCACCGCAATTAACAACCAAGTCTCCCAAATCAAGAGAGAGAAAGAGAGAGAAGGTAATACAGTACAAGTTCAGAGGGAAGAGAGAGAAAGGGAAGAGAGAGAGAGAGAGGAAACGTCTTCAAGTTCAAGAGGTCAAACACCACAGCCCTAAAATCATTGCTCGCTGTTATCTACGGATTTCCCGTGCTTCTTCTCCGATTGATTAATGCTTTATCATCTGATCGTCTATCCACGTCAGCAGCATCGCTCGGCGGCGGACCGCGGCGGCGACAGCGACACCGGCGGTGGCGCTACTGACGAGTTACCGGCAGCAATAGCAGCGGCGGTAGCAGATAAACAGTTTCTGTTTGAGTTTCAGTTCGTTCCCTCTGGTTACGGCCGGTGAGATTTTCGAGAGGTTTTTATTCCTCTTCCGGATTATTATGAAGAAAACTCAAAGTATCAATAGCAACAGTAACGTGAATACTAAGGTGAAGAATGGGGCGACCAATGGCTTTCTTCCTAATTCTTTCAAGTTCATATCCTCTTGCATCAAAACCGTTTCTTCTAACGTCCGCTGTGCCGGAGCCTCCGTAGCCGGCTCCATCTCCGCCGCTGCGTCCGACTCCGATGATCATCGCAAGGACCAGGTTTAAAACTCTTCACCGCCTCGACGATTAAATTTTCTGACTAGTTGTTACTTAATTTCAACGGGCTTTCGTTGCGTGGTTGGATTGCTTTGTTAGTTGTGATTTTCTCGATTTCGTAAGGAAAATGGTGAGGTTCGAGGTTGTCTATACTAGTTAAAGACGTTTGTAAGGTTCGGATCTTTTGCCCGATTGTTTCTAGTAACTTTAGTTCCTATTTGTGTTTATTAAAGTAGTTGTTTTGGCCTTTTGGGACATTGAACTTTGCACATTTTGTCTAGTTTATTCGTGCTTGGAATGTAAATGGTGCTTCTGAATAATGACTAGAGGACATTGGACTGGTATACCTAGAGGATAATGACTACATGCTAGGACTCTGCCATGGTGTACACTTTGTATTGTTGAGTAATGCTGCATATCAGTGTTTGAATCCTTGATGCTGTATTTCTCCTTAAACTGAATTATAAGGATAAGGGTCAGTGTCCAATCATCAGTACAATTAACTATCATTTCATTATAACACAATTGGGGGTAAGTATTCATGTAGTTGGCAGTCAGATCTGAGTATCATGTTATAATGTTTCTTTCTATGGAGGTTGCAACATCTTTCCTCCCTTTTAGTTATAATTTTCATTACCTATCACAAAAATGAAATATTGTTATGCCTTCCTTGTTATATATCTTATTCATGATTCATTATTGATGTAAGTTTGGGGAGAAAAAGATTCATCAAGAGCACTTCATTCATATTCTGTAGACTGTAGAGTACGTTCTTTGGGCTTCATTTTTGTTTATTTTTAGAATTTTCTGCATGGTGTTTGTCTGTGATGAGTAATAGCTTTATTCTGTTTCTAATGACATCAGTTTGCGTTCTGATCAACAATGCTAACCTCCTCGTTTCTAAATTTTTGACAAACAGGTTTTGTGGGCTTGCTTTGACAAACTAGACTTAGGTCCTTCATCATTCAAACATGTCCTGCTCATTGGTTATTCTAATGGTTTTCAAGTCCTGGATGTTGAAGATGCATCTAATGTATGTGAACTGGTCTCTCGGCGGGATGATCCAGTCACGTTTCTACAGATGCAGCCCATTCCTGCAAAATCTGATGGCCATGAAGGATATATAAACGCACATCCCATGCTCTTGGTAGTGGCTTGTGATGAAACAGTTGAATCCATTCCAGCACAAAGTGGGAGGGATGGCTTTATTGAGCCTCAAGCAGTGAACTTTGTAAACTCGCCTACTACACTTCGATTTTATTCTCTAAAGTCCCACAATTATGTTCACAGTTTACGATTCAGGTCTACTATTTTTATGGTTAGATCCAGTCCACAGATAGTTGCCGTTGGTCTTGCAACACAGGTAAACATCTTTACTTTTTCATCCTACCAATTCAAAGATTTGGTGGGTTCAATTAATTGTGTTCTGCATGAAAACAGACATTAGTCTTCTTAACTATAACTATTTTGAATTAGATTTGGTGCTATAATTATCTAAGATTTGTTGGTGTGTTGTTGTGCTGAACAATATTTGTTATCCTAAACATTCTAATATTTTGCTGGCAGATATATTGCTTTGATGCCCTTACTCTAGAGAATAAGTTCTCTGTGCTTACTTATCCTGTACCTCAGTTGGGGGGCCAAGGTTTTACTGGAGTCAATATTGGCTATGGTCCAATGGCTGTAGGTCCAAGGTGGCTAGCTTATTCGTCAAATAATCCAATGATATCAAACACAGGACGATTAAGTCCACAAAGTCTTAGTCCTTCTCCGGGTGTTAGCCCATCTACATCACCTGGTAATGGAAATCTGGTCGCTAGATATGCCATGGAGTCAAGTAAACAGCTTGCTTCTGGATTGATCAATCTTGGAGACATGGGGTACAAGACTTTGTCAAAATATTGTCATGAACTTCTTCCTGATGGTTCCAGTTCACCTGTATCATCAAGCAGCGGCTGGAAAGTAGGAAGGGGTCCAATTCACTTGAGTGAAACAGATGCTGCTGGGATGGTTAGTCTTGTCAATAATTCTGTGCTTCAGAAAAATTTCTTAAAACTTTGCTTTAGTCAGAATGTCAGATAGGAATAACATTGTTTTTGTTGAACCGGTATCATATTACTGCTCATAGACTCATATATACCTTTTGTTTGTCTCTTTTCCTGATCTACCTGTAATCTCAGATTCAACGCATGCTTCTTTTAAATGTTTTGGGTACAAACAATAAAATGGTTAAACAAATTTTGCCTATTGTGAGCTAATATGTAACTTCATTAACTTGGTGTTGGCCATCAGAGAGTAAAGTTGATTACTTGATTTTTCCAAAACATAGTCCTTCACATGATCAGCTATTGTAGTGTAAAGTAACAATTAAAATGCAGAGTTTTGGTGTTGGTCAGAGCTGTTGATCTGAAAGAGCTATTCTTCTGATGTGTTTATTGCAGGTTGTGATTAAGGATTTCATATCCAGAGCTGTAGTTTCGCAATTTAGGGCCCATAAAAGCCCCATATCTGTTCTATGTTTTGACCCTAGTGGCACTCTCTTGGTCACTGCTTCCATACGTGGTAACAATATAAATATATTCCGGATAATGCCCTCTAGCTCTCAGAATGGATCAGGTGTACCTAGCAATGATTGGAGCGCTTCCCATGTCCACCTCTACCAGCTCCATCGAGGCGTGACCCCCGCTGTGTGTATTTTTTGCCACTCTATTTTATAATGCAGCATTTTGATAGACATCTATTCTAGATTTTTCTTTTTTCAACTTTTAATGGGAAACATTTTTGTAACAGGTGATACAAGACATTTGCTTTAGTTACTATAGTCAATGGGTAGCTATTATTTCAACGAGGGGGACTTGCCATATTTTTGTTTTATCCCCTTTTGGTGGCGAAACAGGGCTTCAATTACAAAACACTCATGTTAATGGCACAACGCTTATACCCATACTATCTGTGCCATGGTGGTCTGCCTCATCTTTTTCAATAAACCAGCAGTCTTCTACACCCCCACCCGCACCTATCACATTGTCTGTTGTTAGCAGAATTAAGAATGTCTCTGGTTGGCTTAATACAGTAAGCAATGCTGCTTCTTCCGTGGCAGGAAGGGTTTCTGTACCATCTGGTGTTGTTACAGCTGTTTTTCATAGTTGCATACACCAAGATGTGCAGCGTGCTCCCCCAAAATTGAATTCTTTAGAACATTTATTGGCCTTCACTCCTAGTGGCCATCTAATTCAGTATGAAATGGTTCCTTCACTTGGTGGTGAGCAGGGTGACACCACGTTGAGAACTGGTACAGGACCCTTAGTGCAGATGCAAGAGGATGAATTGCGAGTGAAAGCTGAGCCTGTACAATGGTGGGATGTTTGTCGAAGGGCAGACTGGCCTGAAAGAGAGGAGCGTGTTAAGGAAATTGCATTTGGAACCCAGGAAGGCAGGGCCACTGTTATAGATACTTCTGCTAGTGAAGATGATGGCATTGGAGGTAAGGATATTTCCGTGCCTCACAATCAGTCTCACTGGTATCTTTCAAATGCAGAGGTGCAATCAAGGTCCTGGAGGATACCAATTTGGCAGAAGTCTAAGGTAGTTACCTTCTTTATAGCCCTTGGTGTACCTTCAAGTTTTTCTCTGCTGAGGTTTGCTATATTCTATGATTATAATTTCATAATTACTGTAGATATGCTTCTATACCATGTGTCTCCAAGGGAGTGCAGAACAGTATATTGAACAACTTCTTGCCAGTAGAGAGATTGAAATTGAGAATGTTCCAGTTAATGAGGTTGAAATAAAGCGAAAGGATTTGTTACCTGTATTTGACCAATTTCAGAGGATTCAAACAAATTGGGATGATGAGAGGTAATGCTGATTCTGCATGCGTTATTCTCAATTATTGCCACCTTGTTCAGCTCCTCAAAAGCATGACAAAAGAGTTGTGAACATGGATTTGACTCCTTTTTTTGCTACTATATGTGTCTGGTATTTGGACTCGATCCTTATATTCAGCAAGTGATTGGATATGTGTCAAGAACTGGTGTTGTGCTTAAGTTTAAGTGTTTGACTACTAATTGCGTAGCATGTAGTGTTTTCTTAAAGGTACTGATACATTAAATTGCATATTGGATCTGAGACTGACAACATACTCTTCAATTAGAACTTAGTATGTTGTAGAACTCTCAAGGCTGTAACCACGGGAGTAGTTTGTCAATCTTCCGGTTTTTTGTCCTGCCAGATTGAGAGTTTTCCCTAGCTAGGGTGCATCCTTTCAAGTGTAAAACCATTAAGTCTGTAACTACGAGAGTAGTATGCCAATATCCCACTTTTTAGTCATGTCAAATTGAGAGTTGTGCCTAGCTAGGGTGCATCCTTTCAAGTTCCTTTAGGTACAGCATAAACTCATCATTTCTCTGTATGTGTGTATGTACTATGTATAAAATGTATTTGATGATTCTTTTCAACTTTCAGTGCATTAGAACAGCCAAAATAAAATACACTGTACAATGTTAAATGTTACACTGCTAATGCTTACATTATTATTCTTGATATGATGCATATGTTTTTTGACATTCACTTCCCTCTTTGGGACACTGCAAAGGGTTAGACATACTATAAAATATTACTACAATCGATTTTCAGAAACTCGAACCCACTGAAAGATTTGCATTGAATAATGTTCTTTACAAAATTCGAACTTAAAACCATTACTGAAGGGTGGTGCCTACTAAAGATATTTATGATGTGATGCTCTCTACAAAATTCTAACTTTACCCATTGGATTCAAACTTAAACCACTACTGAAGTGTGGTGTTTATTTAGTTACCTACTTTTACCAGGATTTTGAAATTATAATCAATTGCTTGTATTTCTCGATTTCCCCTTTTGATTGTGCTTCAACACTGTTTATATTTCAATATAAATGTGGAGTCTATTAATATGTGATACCTCTTTAGATTATATGTAAAGCCACAAATTGTTGAGTATTGTTAAAGAAAGTTAAGAAACAGTTCTATCTCATGTATTGTGTAGGATTTCTTTTGATGGCAGATTTTCTGGTTCATCATATGGCTCTTCCAGTGGTAAAGAGAAATCAGAAGATACTGCTTCGAATGCAAAGGCAGCCGCTCTTTGTGCGGTCAAAAAGTCACATGCTGGTAAGACAGTGTATGATTTTAGTTGGCTGTTCTGATAGGTCCTCAAAGAGCTTATATGTGTGTGTATTTTTTGCTTTACTATAAGGTTCACAAATTTCTGGTGTAGATGAGATGAATATTACGCCAGTGGCATATCCTCACATTGACCTAATGGATGAGAATGATGGAGCAAAAGAATCAGGGTTTTCAGGACCATTGATGCCAAATCGGACATTCTCCATTCCTGAGTTATCAACAAATATCATTTCTTCCTTGGAGGAAGGTTACATTGTAAATAGTCCATCTCCCCCAAAAAGTGGGTCTCCCTCTACTGGAGAAACTAGTGCTAGGGACATTCAGTCCTCAAATAGTGCTCTTACAAGTCAAGCTTCAAACACAAGCTCTAATCATTCCGACATGAGTATGAATATTAGTAATGATGAGGGGCCGATTCTTGAAGAGATGTCTGACCCTGTAGATTTTGCACAGTATTTCAAAGAAGGCTACTGCAAGGCTTCAACTAACAATGAATCCAGTGAGTTAACAAAACTGGTTACTGATATTGATAGAGGTAATAATCCTTGTGAAAAAGAGAAGGGTGAAGATGATGACAGGGAAAGTGATGACATGCTTGGTGGTGTATTCGACTTCTCTGAAGAAGGTTTGTGAATTTAAATGAAACATTCAATGCTTTTAGTATATGTTTATTTTCTCCATCATTGTTTATAGAGTTAATCAACATTTTGGTCCCTCAATTGTTTCCCAACTATCAATGTAGTCCCTAGTTTTCAATTTCAACCAATTTGATCATCGAATTGTTTAAAATTTTGTCATTTAAACCCTTTCAGGGACCAAAATAGTGATGTTCACATTTTTAAAATTTCGTCAATTTGGTCCTTGAAAGTGTTCAATTGACGAAATTGTTAACAATTTGAGGATCAAATTGGTTGAAATTGAAAACTAGGGACTACATTGACAGTTGGGAAACAATTGAGGGACCAAAATGTTGATTTCACCTTGTATTAATGCCTACTGGGGATTTTTTTTTTTTTTTTTTGGGTTTTCCCTTTTATTTATTCAATTTTCAGTGAAATCTTGAAATATTGCATGATTTAGGTATTATTATTAACCTGATCTGTTTGTGGTTCCTCTTATTGCCACTTAAAAAAATATATATTTTTTCAGGTTAATGCATGACTTCAATGTTTAAACTCTACTGGTGGAGTTAAGCCAACCTGATTTAATGCATGGCAGCATATGATCTGAAGTGTGGCCTATTGCTTTCCAAGAGGACAAAAATGCTACTGACTTGTGTGCTATCTGTGACATTTACTTAGTCCATTTGTTTTTTTTTTTGCTGGGGGTGATGAGCGCCTGGTTTCTCTGCATCTAATTCTTGTGTATATATACTGTATATTAAAATTCACGATGCAAACCATTGGAGTGGACACAGGTCTTTGTCTATGCTGTTTAACTGTATTTGTTCTTTAAAGAAAAGACAATAAAAATGGGGGAAAAAAAAAAAAGCAAAAGCTATTTGTTATTTTGTTGCATACTTCTCTTTTCCTTGATACTAGGGGTTGGCATTTTGGGTTTGGGTTATCCAAATCGAGCTGAAACCGAACTGAAAGGTTAGGTTTTTGGTTTATTATTAAAAAACGATCTGTTCTACAACTTAGGGATAAAAGGTGTAATTTTACAATTACTCTATAACTTGGGGATAAAAAGTGTAATTTTAAAATTATTTTATAATTCAAGGATAAAAAGTGAGCATGCCCAACACTCAAGGATGAATTTTACAATTATTCTACAACTTAGAGAAAAAAAGTGTAATTTTTCCCTTTTTTTCTAAAATTTTTATATATTTTTTTATAAATTTTATTTAAAGACAACGTGTGGTTGTCACCGCTGTTGGACATGTGGTTGTCCATAATCTCAAAGACAACCATCATAGGTAGTCCAGACTGATTTAATTTTTTGTGGTCCTTTATTGGTTAGGGTCACAAGGTCGGGTTTATCTACACCGAAAGGGTTGTGGAGTTTCTCTTGTCATCTAAAAAAATAAAATTGTGCTATGGACATGATAGACTTGTAATAGTAAGTTAATGGACCTAAACCTATAGTAGTGAATTATGGATTTGTGGTAGCACGTTGATGGACTTGCGTAATATTTTGATGGGCATGTAGTAGTTACTTAATCAATCGATAGGTTTATTAAAAAATTGAGAAAATAATAATATGAGTGTCATAAAATGAGAAAATAATAATATGAGTGTCATAAAATTATCTTAGTTAGACTAATTCTATGTTATCGATTGGATAATAGGATGAGAACAGGATTTTATGAATTACATAATGCAACCGATTATATGTGAGAAATATATACATAGGATAATTCATAATAGAGTCACACCACATCTAGGACTATAGAGTCCTAACACATCACTTCAAGTGCAAGGTGGACGAGGCACAACCTGAAGCTTGTCCCGAAGAAATGCAAACCGTAGAGGCGGTAACAGTTTGGTGAAGATGTCAGCCACCTGGTCCTTCGGTAACAGTTTGGTGAAGATGTCAGCCACCTCATCCTTAGTAGAGATAAAATTAACAGAAGCTCACCAGAATTAACTTTGTCACGAACGAAGTGATAATCAATCTCAACATGCTTAGTTTGGGCATGAAATACATGATTGGCCACATGTATGTTGCACCTAGACTGTCACATCATAGTCTCAAAGTAGAAAGAGATGAGATATTGAGCTCATCCAATAGAGACACAATCCAGGTTACCTCCGAAGAGACATCAACCAAAGCCTTATACTCAGCCTCAGTGGAAGACCTGGCAACGGTGCGTTGTTTCTTGCATTCCCAAGAAATCAGGTTCGTACCCAAAAACACTGCAAAATCACTCGTAGATTTGCGATCCTCTGTGTAACCAACCCAATTAGAATATGAAAACACATGTAACTCAGAAAACAAACTTTTGCGTAGCCGTACGCTATAATCTAGAGTCCCCTTTACATAACGCAGGACCCGCTTGAGTCGAGCCTAGTGACCCACCGTGGGCGAATACATATGCTAACACAACCGATTCACAGCAAAAGAAAGGTTAGGGCAAGTCACCGCCAGATACTGCAAGGCACCGTTCAGACTCTTGTACTGAGTCGGATTAGCATATGGCTCAGTAGAATCCGTAGTAGAGCGAGCAACAGGAGCAGGCATGGTCAACCATACCTGCATGTTTCAAAATGTCATTCATATACCGTCGTTGTGGCAGAAGCAGACCACCATCACCGACCATAGTCTCAATACCAAGAAAGAAATTTAGAGCACCCAGATCTCATATCTTGAAAGCTGCAGACAATTAGACTAAGAGAATCAACCATTGAGCGGTCACTACCCATCAAAAGAATATCATCCACATACACCAAGAGATACACACGCAAAGCACCCTGTGCATAATAAACATAGACACGTCCGTTTTAAACGAACGAAAACCAATATATAGAAGAAAATCATGCAGTCGAGTGAACCAGGCCCGGAGAGCCTGCTTCAGACCATACAATGAATAATGGCATAGTTGAAAAAATCGTTAGGCGCCCATCGGGCGCTCGGGGAGCGCCTAGGCGGGGATTAATCGGTGGCTAAGCGCCCATGAATTTTTTATTTTAAAAAAATTTGTTTAATTTTTTTTAGACTTGATAATTATAAACTATTTAATATTTTAATAGTTAATACTAATATATTAAATATTAACCTAAAAATCATTTAGACTTTGAATAATTTAGGGTTATTTCGCTCAAAACGATGTCCAAATAACTCATTTAAAAAAGAATTGAACAATAGTTAATTGGCCGACTAGGTGACCTAGTCGGTGCTTAGGAGGCCTAGTCGGCGCCTAGGAGGCCTAGACGGCACTTAGGCAGCCTAGTCGGCCGCTTAGCCTGCCAGGCGCCTAGACCACCAATTATGGTGATACGCTTAGGCGGCCGGCTAGCGCCTAGGCACTGATTACTCGGTGTTTAGGGGGATTTTTGCAACGTTTAAATGCAGAAGACAAACATGATCCAAACATGCATTATCAGTATAGCCAGGAGGTTGATGCATATTCACAGTCTCAAACAAATTACCATTCAGAAAAACATTATGAACATCCAACTGACGAATTACCCAGTCAGATGAAACAACCAACGCTAATAGTAGCCTGACAGTAGTGGGCTTCACCGCTGGACTAAGAGTATCAAAGAAATCTTGACCTGCAACCTGATTGAACTCCTTCGCGACTAGCCTTGCCTTGTGACGTTCAACCGAGCCATCAGTCTTCCTCTTGGTTCTAAACACCCATTTACAACCAACAACATTGTATACCCGGTCGATAGGGCACCAGATGCCACGTATTATTTTGCAGAAGAAAATTAAACACCAAGTCTATAGCCTCACACCACTCAAGAAACTTGCGGCCTAAGAGTAACACGTCGGGTCAGAGGTACGCAAATTTGCAGCAAGAACAATAAGAACGATACCCGTAACCACAACTCTCGTCGTACGTTTCGGGCAAACCGACTAATGTTGTGTTGTTGCTCGACGAGATTGCCGCCGAGTAGACACATACATAGAAGCAACCGGGGCAGAAGACTGAGAAGAAACCTACTGAGCAGATTGATCTAATGTAGTAACCGCCCAAGGGCCAAATGAAACCCCTTGATACACAGACAGAGGCCAGGATACATGTCTAGCAAAGGAGAAAACAAACCCATCAAAGTGAACATGCCTATAGACAAAGATTTTGTTAGTGTTAAGGTCTATGCACTTATACACCCGAAATGACGCAAGATATCCTAGGAAGACACACAGAGCAAATCAATAATCACGATAAGTGATCACGAGAAGATGAACTAACATAACAATCTTTAAAATTTGACCCAAAACGCAATGATGCAGATGACCAAGACGTTTATGTCAAACCAAAGGAGACACATGAGTGACAAAAAATTAGAGGGAAGCACACGCGAAACCGACAACGAGTACAGGCCACCCAAACTGGACCCCCTAAGTAGAACCTCCTTGGTGTCGAGAACCTTCACAACAAAGAAAGTCAGGTAAAAAATCAAAGAAAACACAATTTTCAATTGCAAATTTTTGGACAAATAATAAAGGAATAGATAGACTAAGAACATGCAGCACATCAGGCATTTGAAAAGACCAATATTGGGTTGAAAAGGAAGCATAACCAACACTAGATATAGTCAAACATGCCCATTATCAACACTCAAAGTTTCATCACCAAGATACTCCTCAGACTCTCAAGAGTGGCATGATTAGTCGAGCCAGTGACCGGGAACCAGCGACGAGAATCAAACAACACATAATTGGAGCCTTCTTGAACTATCAAATTAGCTCATGGTGCTGGAGCATCAGAATAATATTGAAAGCATGTACCCATGGGGTGTGGATGAACTTAACTATACCCATGAAGGACTACTTCGTCTTTCTTGATATGATTAATCCCGGTCGGACCCAAAGAAAAAAAAAATATTGTTTTGATTTCAATGCTATTTAATTTTGGGACAAGAATCAAATAAGCCTTTAAACTATTTATGAAAGAACAGTTAAACACTCGAACTAGAAAAAAACTCCAATTATATACTTGAATTTAGAAAAAAGTACAATTAACCCAATTTAACCTGTTATTGCACATCGGGTTTATTTTTCCATATTAGAAATTAAATTAATTCCAAAATGCATGGAATGAGAGGGAGAGAAAGGCCAAGAGGAATAAGAAACAAGTACTAACAATACACACCTGGTAGGGCATACTGCAATACAACATATAAAAGCAAACATCATAAGTGGTTATAATTCTAGTTATATTACAAATTCACTGATCTAATTAAGGATGTTCTCCAATCTCCATCCATGAACTACTAAAGTTGTATATGTTTAGCTATATAACATTAGCAAAGATATGATGCTGGTCTCTCTCTCATAGATCAGCACCACATTCACCCTTCTTCCTCTCTCTCTCTCTCGTTTCGAGGCCAGAAGTCGGAAATGTTAATGTAATCCGCAGATTCAGAGGCTTATAGGTCAACCTGCTCGATCTTACGATAATGCACTATACAACACAACCAATAAACCAGTTCCCAAAATACTCGTACCGTTATTGTCTAGGCACAAGCTTAGTATGACTAACAAAGCAATAACGAGTGGAACTAGACAGACAGACAATATTACACGCAATTGGCAAGCGTTACGATGATAACAACTTCAATCCGATACCATGATGTTTCTGGCAGTTTCAAGAGTCGGAACTGATGACAAAGTTACTTATCTCATCCATGACGGTGTAGAAGTGGTCGTTGTTTGGCAACAAGTAGAACCCGATTGTTGCCTTGTCGAGATAAATAAGTTTCACCTCTTGCCCGGCCTTCTTGAGTCCATCGGCATAAGCGAGCTGCCAATCCTGAATGAGGTCCAAACCCGCCACGACTACGAGGCTCTTCGGGAACTTAACCCCTTCGAGTTTTATACTGTTTGGCCCGAACGGGTTGCATGCCGGATGGTCCCTATCTGCACCTTCGGGGAGAAAGGCTCTCCAATACCAATCTCGGTCTTGAAGTGTTACGAAATATTTCCCATCCAATCGTTCTTCAGACTCGGTTCTCTTTTCCCCTCCAAACATTGGATTCAGCAATATACTCCCGAACACCTCGATATCCGATTCGGCTGCTCTTAAAGCCACGTTATGAACAATATTACCACCCGAGCTATCTCCCGCTAGGTAAACATGAACTTTAGAGTCCATTTTGCTCTGCATCCATTTCCTCGAGTTCACCCACTTGAGAGCCGTCCACCCATCATCATAAGCGGAAGGATACCTATTCTCTGGCGCTCTCCGGTAGTTAACCGACACAACAATGGCGTTGCAAATGCCAACAAGACGGCGGCAGAGAGTATCATAGATAGCACTGTTGCAAGAAGAGTGCGCAAAACTCCCACCGTGGAAGAAAATAATGACGGGAACCACATCAGAGCACACCGGTTTTTCAAGCTCAGTTAAACTCGGCACCCCTCCATCATCAAACGCAGGCCGGTATATCCTACTTAGTAGACCTACTTCACGATCGATAATAATATCAAACGAGAAAACCCCATCACTCGGATTCGCATCGGCCTGGACCTTGCGATCGAGAAACTCAGCCAAATGGCGGTTGAAAGTCCCATCAGGACGACGTAATAGATTGTAAGCCAACTTGAAATTGGAGATGAGGACCCATGTATTCAGTGGAACTACCCTCTATCAAGAAAAGATAGGTCAAAATCCATAAAAATTTCACAAAATTTGCAGTTTTAAAAGCCTTGATAACTTGGCCAATAGAACAATAGAACTATAGAACTACACCCTTAAGTATTGCAAATCCATCAAAAGCAACAGCTTTATGCCATAGGGAGAAATCATTTACTCTTCTTACCATTCAGCCATAGAATCATAGAAAACAAAATAATATAATCTTAACAGAAGATAAAAAGGGGACTAGACAAAATAAATATGATGGTTTTGCTTGGGTTTTAGGAGGGGGATGATGCAAGAACAGGAATACCCATCATTATCAAAATTTCCAAAAATGTATTTTTTTTGTTTCAAAATCAGACTTAACAAATACCATCAAATAATTGCCAATATTCACAATATAAACTACTAAAAAAGCTCACAAGAATGATCACAATTCACAACAACATAGCCCTGAAAAGGGCAGAAAACAGTCAACTTCAGAGACTAGCAATGACCCATAAATCGAGAAAACATAAACAGATCATCAGAATCATATGATTTCTGTACACTGAAATAGAATTAAAAATTTTACCTTTGACTCATTCTTGGACTCCGTCACGGAAGCTTCACTACTTCTGGCCATAGGGCTCTCTGCTCCTAGCTAAATCAGAGATAACAACAAAATATAGCCCGCCACTATAAGCAGATCACATTTCCATTTGCAGCCTCAAAAAACATCCCAACCCTCTCTCTCTCTCTCTCTCTCTCTCTCTCTCTCTCTCTCTATTTATATATATATATATATATATACACACACGTATATATGTATAGAGATCAAAATACAGATCCTATATTATTGAAAGATCATTGTTTCTAGCTAAGATTCCATAACTGGTATCGTTCCTATCCAAGTATTATTAGCAGAAAGGATGATTGATTCTTTAAATCTGTCTGCAAAATGACCCAGATGAAAGAGACGGAGACAAAGTGGGAGGGAGGGAGGGGGGGGGGGGGGGGGTGAAGGATAAGAAAACGGGCGGCGCACGTTAGAGTATACGTACGGGGAGAGTGCTAAAGTGCGCGGAGGGCAAAGAGGACAAGATGAGAGAGACGACAAAGTGGGAGGCTGAAAGGGGGATTGTCTTTGGTTCGTTGTGGGACCCGGCTACTAATTTTGACAGTGTTGGTTTTGCTCCCAACCCCTCCAATTCTAACTTATTTTGCATTTGGCCCCAAACCCCACTTGTAATCTTTATGCCCATTGGTGGAAAAAAAGAAAAGAAAAACAAAACCAAACAAAAATATCAGTGGGAATAAATAAATTATACGGAGTACCTCTTTCAAAAAAATATATATTATTATTATATCATGAGTTCCATACATTTATGAGTGTTTGATAAATGATGAATCCATCATTTTTTAAAATATAAATTTGTCTGATTTAAATCTCTAAAAAAGACTAATGCATATTTAGTTTTTTTTATTAGAAAATAATAGAAAAATAGAAACATATTTATCAACATTTATTTTTCAAATGAAATTATTTAAACGTATGTGTTTATCGATTATTATTTTTTTCATTTAATTTTAACCTAGAAATAATGCTAGTGGTAGGTGGCATGTTTGATTAGTTTTTTTTTTTTTTTTTTTTTTTTTTTTTTTTTTTTTTTAATAGACATGTTTGAATAGTTGATAGTCGGGTTTTAAATAGATTGAGGTAGTAGTGAAAATCTCGTTTTCTATTGCGTGTATGTGTGTATGTGTAATCAAATATAGGGTTTTTGAGTACTATATGAATAATGTCAATCGAGTTTGAAACGGATACATATAATATTTATTCATATTTGAGATAGTTCTAAATGGATCTGAATTCACATTTGAAACATGGGTATGTAGAGTTAAAAATAAAATATAATATTATATGTAGTTAAAACAATAGATATGTAGATAGTATGAATAATGGTGGTGATGAGATGATAAGTAGATATGGGTGATGATATGATAGGTACGTTGTGGTAGAAATATACAGATAAATAGTTGAATAAATCATACAAGTAATTAAATAGATAAGTACAGTAAAAGTTTGTAGATAATAATAACAATTATAGAAAAAGTTATGTATTTTTGCATTTGAAAAAAAATAGAATAAAATGTTTTTTTTTAATTCTTTATTAAATTGAAAAAAAAATAGAAAAGCAGCTTTCCAAATGGAAATAGAAAATAATGCTAAAAAAACACATTTATTTATTTTCTATTTTCTGTTTTTCATTTCTGTTTTCTTCTTATTTGAGCTTGTTGCATAAAGTCTTCTTAATGCATGCAGGTTTCCTTTGTCACCCACAAAAATAAATAAATAAATAAAAATCTATTTTAGTAATGTAGATCAATTGTTCATTTCAAAACATTGTAACCTTTTTTCTTTTTGCATTTTTTAAATTTTTATGGATCAATGCTGCATGTTTAAACCATAAATTTTCCTAATGTGTGCATATTTTCCTTGTCACTTACTAAAAAAAATCTATTTTGGTATTGTAGATCAACCATTCATTTCAAAATGTTTTAACCTTTTTTAATTTTTTTTCGCAATTTTTTTTTATTTGTGTGGATCAAAGTTTCATGTTCAAACCATTGTGTAACCCTTTATTTTTCACATTTTTTAAGTTTCGGAATTTATAGATTTCTACGAATTAACACAAACATATATGAAGTAAATCGTTAGCGACAATTAGTTTATTACTATAATAATAACAATAACAACAGCAACAATAACAATAATAATAAAATGCTAATGATATTGTGGTCTAGTGACACTAAGTAATTATCTTAAATAGGAGGTTATGGGTTGAAACCTTAGTGGGTGCGGTGTACTCAATAATAATATTGTTGTTATCAATTACTAGTATTTGCACATGTGCGATGCACGGAATGTATTCGTTATAATATATGAATTATAATTTGTTTCATATTCGATAGTGTAAATTTTAACGTTGAATTATGGTTTGTTTGAATGTTTCGGAATCGAATTAATTGGTCTCATTATCTTTATATGTAGTAATTTAGCTATAGAAAATTTTGTAACGGAATATATACGTAATATGTAGATATGTAACAATTTTGTTATATTGGTGCAAGAAGAATCCATAATATAACTTTGAAAATCTCTTTGTAGACGACATTAGTAGTAGTAAATAGAAGTTTGTTCATCCTCGTCTAGAGCTAAAACCTTAAGGCCATTAGGATGAGTGACTCGGAAAAAAGCCATGTACAATTAACCGTGATTAAAAACTGATTTTTTCAACAATAAGCCAATGTGAGTTAGTCTTTGACCCTGGCTTTTGTTGATAGTCATTGCATATGCTAGCATCAACGGGAATTGTTTACGCTGGAACTCGAATGACAATCTCGTATCAGAAGGGGTGAGAGACATTCGTGGTATAATAACTTTGTTTCCTTGTTGTGTTCCATTAACTATTATTGCTTCGACAATATGATCCGTCAATCTTGTAACGATGAGGCGCGTATCGTTGCAAAGACCAAGAGAGTGGTCTATGTTCCACAGTAACATAATAGGTGCACCAACCTTTATTGTCAATGAATGATTAGGAAGTCCAGACAATCTCAAGCTATTTAAAAATTCAGGAGTGTGTACTTGTGAGAGATTATCACCATATGATTCTGCCTTACACAAAGAGTCACAGCTTAAATACGTCCAACCTTCTGCAGTGTTCATGTCACACATACTGATTAATTTGATTAACAACATCTAAAGTCGGTGAGAAGAACGCTCGTCATTCTAGGTGCGACTCTTCTAGCATTCTATACTTCGTGGTTGGGAAGATGCTTTCAACTATAGTTGCAATTTGATCAGATCCACACTTCAACATAAACCTTGGTGAAATATCGATCCCAAACAAACCATTGTTTACAAACCCTGTAATCCCATCTCCGATGTCTGCAATCCATCTTGAGAACCAATCAACCGTCTGTCTATCTTCGGTTGAAGCTAAGCTCTGTAGTCTCAGGTTCTTCATGAGTCTCAATACCTTGCAATTCATCCAGAGGTATGAAGAATTAATAGTGGTTCCCACAACCATTGGTCTCGTTGCTTTTGGAATAATTGGAAGAATCTGTCTAAAATCACCGCCCAATACTAATGCCTTTCCCACCAAATGTTTTCTAATCACTACCAGGTATGGTGAATCTCAATATATCCCTCATGGTTTTGTCTAAAGCTTAAAAAGAGTATTTGTGTATCATCAGTGCTTCATCCCATATTATCAAGTTGCTCATGATTATAAGTTCGCAAAGGTCACTGCCTTGTGTGGTATTGCAGGTGGAATCTTCATTCACTGAGAGTGGTATAGCAAATCAAGAATGCGTTTTCCTGCCACCTAGCAATAGCAAAGATGCTATTCCACCTGAAGCAACATTTAGAACAATAAGGATCTTTTTTTTTTTATTTCCTTTTCCATTTTCCGTGAATTAAAGATAATTTTTTTTATTTTCCTATTTTGTATAAAGATTTATTCAACAAATTCATAATTATAAAAATTTATGAAAATATCACCGCATTTTTTTAAAAATAGAATCCGTTAGATCTGGACACGTGGACAACTCCGATTAATTCTCGTTCTTTTCTGGACATATATATATATATATATATATATATATATATATATATATATATATATATATATGGCTTGGTTTTGGTGCGGATACTCCCTAGGTGTGAACATGTGAACATATCTAGACCATTATATGAGCTCAGATCAACGGTTGAAAATCAATAAAAATTGAAAAATGTGATGACATTTTGATAATTTCAATGATATGCTAGTGCATTTAGATATGCTTCGTGGTGCATTTAGATATGTTTGATGTTGCTTTGAGTCCAATGCACCTAAGGATGTTAATTCAACCAGACCCTGATGGGGAAACCTAGTCCCCGCCACAATGGGGTCGGGAAATTTTTTCAAAAGAGGGGGGCGGGGATGGTGAAATTGGGGGGAGTTTCCCCATCCTCGCTTGGGACAAGGATTGTACCCCATGCCTCGACCCCGTCCCTGAACCCTGACCTTGACCTCGAATCCTTGAAATATATATTATATTATATTATATTATATAATTATATGTAATATACTAATATTTGTATGAACTAATATTTAGTTTGGAATTTTGATTTTTTTTTTCAAGATATTATGTATGAATATTTGGTATTTTGGTTAGGAAAATGTTATTTTTACTTCATTTTATTTCGTAAAATTTATCTTCATGATATGGCTTATAATCAATGGTTGCCATGAATTGGTCGATCCCACTTACTTTTAATTAAATATTAATGTAACCAATTAGGCAGTGACATGTCATGAGGAGAAATAAGGAGAAAAATTTTAAGAGGGGTATGTAACATTACTGTTTCGGTTAATGACTTAAGTTTTGAATAATTTGAATCTTTAAGTATTGTTTAATGTTTTAAGTATTTTGTACTAGTTGTATTTTTAGATGATTGGAGGTTAGACTAATTCGATATTTAAATATATAAATTTATAAATTAATTATATAATTTAAATAAAATATTATTTTATAGTGTACTAAAAATTAAAAAGTGTATATTTTTTAAAAAAAAAAAATTGGGCATGGGGAATCCGTCCCCGAAAAATCCCCACGAAGACAGGGATTGGGGTAATTCCCCATCCCCATCTAGGAACGGGCGGGGATAAATTCGGGGGCGGGGATGGGGACTCCATTCCCCGCCCTCACCCCGCTCCTTTGCTATCCTTAAAAGCACCGTCAAGCATTCCTCGTGTGCACCACATATCAGCATTTTGGGAATGCACCACAAACCAACATTTAGTCGTGCACCATAAACCAGCACTTAGTGCACTACAGACCTACATTTTGTACACTACAAAAAATGAATTACATCAAAACTTTATAAAAAACATTCATAACAAAATATGAAACATAATTATTTTGATAAAATGACTCGAATAA